CACCCACAGAAGCTTCCCCGACTTCGGGGCGCTGAGTCTGGGTGGCGGCGGAGACCGGAATCTCTCCCTGTCCCCGAGGGTCCCTGAGCTGGGCACCGCGCCGGGCACCGTGGTGGGGTCGTGCCTTAGCCTACTTTGGCCTGGGAGGGAGGCCCGAGGTGGGGAGTCCGCTGCCCTCGCGGTTTCCTATCAGCTGTGGTGGAAGTGGTGCCGGGCGGGGTCGTGGGGAGTGGAGTTCAGGATCTGCCTGCTCCAGGGAAAGGGCTGCTTTGATGGTGGGTGGGGGCGTGATAGTTAGGTTGAAAAGATGTGGGATGTGCAAAAAAAAGGAGGCACAGTTTCTGTCTGGGGATGGCTATCATTCCTGTCTGGGGTTTTAGAAAGAAAAAGGCCTGCCCTCAGAGTGGGGGCCCACTTTGGGGGAAAGGATGCAAAGCCATCGGCTGCAAGCCAGAGTCTCCAGTCGGAGACTTTCTGGCCATCCAGTCTGCCATACCACAGGCCCGACCTTTCTGGCCTACGAGGAGCTCTGGGTGGAAATGAGCAGTCAGCCCAGCTGAGAGACGGGCTCCAGAGGGAGCTCTGTGGTCTCAGGACACCACTCCACACCAAGACGTCCTGCAGAGAGGTTCCACCCCTGAGGGTTCGGGCTCTGATTGGAGCCTGCCCCGAAGTTGAGACAGGGGAAAAGGATGTCTGTTCAGCCTCTCACCCCCCCAGCCCTATGCTCTAACTCCAACTCACCTTCCAGAACCTTCCAGTCCCATGCCTTCCTCTTGAGCAACTCAGACCGATGGTTTTCAAACTTGAACCTGTAGCGAGGAGACCTGAGAGTCTTGTTAGCACTCTTGCTGTGCCTCACCCCTACCCTGGGGTCCCTGAGTTCTAGGTCTGGGTGGTTGTCAGCCCTGGTTAAGGTTAGGAGCACCTAGGGGGAGTTTTGCAGGAATATACTCCATCTAGACCAATTGGGCCATATTCTCTTGAGGGCAGGACCCTGAGTCCTTCCAGAAGGACCACATTCGAAGAGTTCTTCCTCTGAAAAACATTTTTTTTCTTTATTCATGGTAGAGCCTAAGTGTTTCCGCGTAAGAGTGAGTGACAGAGAAAGCACCCGCCACAGGGTCTGGCCACAGGGTCTGGTCTTGGCCCCACCCCTTCCTTCAACCCTCCAGCCCGTTGGATTGTGGGCCTAAAGTATGCCAGTGGGTTGACCCGGCTGGGGGCTGGGGAGTTTCATAGGCGGTGGCCATGTGGAATTAAGCCCCATATTGGCCCTCTCCTGTTATTTTGTTTATATTTTTGCAGTCTCTCTGGCAGTTTATTTGTTCACGAATCTCTCACTATGATTGAATGTGGGCTTCGAAAGGGCAGGAAATGTATTATACTGAAGTTAGTACCCTCTCTGCCCCAAGTGCCATCAGAGCACCTAACTGGTAGGACTTTCTGCATTGGGTGTTTGCTTTGTGGCTGATGTGGATGGTCCACTTGGGTGGGCCGAGGCCTCCAGACCTCTGAGGAGGTGTGGGAAATGTCAGGGATGGGTTGGGGCATGGTGGAGCAGCCCAGAAGAAAGTATGGGAACGAGGACTGTTTATCAACCCGATTTGCTACAGCTAATTTTCCACTTTGGGGATTATGCATTAATCCCTAGTTGGCTTCTCCTGTCACTCAGCAGGACTCACATGTGTCCCTATATGGTTCAGCTGTCTGTGGACTGAGGGAATGTCAACTTCCTGTATCATTCTTCTCAGACACACGCACACGATGCAGAACCGGTGTTGCTTTACCTTAGAAAGTACGTGCCTGAAAGCAGCCACTCTGAAAAGGCAACTGACCCTGTAGTTCCAACCATATGACATTCTGGAGAAAGCAAAACTATGGAGACAGTGCACGTTCAGTGATGGGCCAGCCAGTGGCATGGTGCTTGGCGTGGCTGAATCCCATGAGGCCAGCTGAGCTGTTCAAGTCTCAGACCTGGCAGCCTGAGGAGCACCCAGGGGCCTATGCATGCATGCCCCAAATCCCAAGGGAGAGAATGGACATGAGAGGAAGAACTGTGGCATGGCCATGTCCCTTGGGGGGCACTTTCTCATTTCCTCATTTTCACTCGTTCTCTCTCTCTGGTGGGTGTATAAGCCTTATTGATAAAAAATAAATAAATAAAAGTTAGTGATTGCCAGGGTTAGGGAGTAGGGGGACATGAATAGATGAGACACAGGAATTTTTAGACAGTGAAACTATTCTGTGTGATACTATAATGGCAGTTAATGTCATCCATTTGTCCAAATCCACAATTTATACAGCGCTCAGAGTGAACCCGCATGTCAACTATGGGCTTTGGGTGACAGCCATGTGTCATCAATTGTAACAAATGCTGGGGATGCTGACCATGGCGGGGGGGTGGTGGCAGGGTACACATGGGAAATCTCTACCTTCTGCTCAGTTTTGCTGTGAAACTGAAACTGCTTTTTAAAATAAAGTCTGTTCTTTTTAAAGCATATATGAAACCAAAATAAGTGTATTTTAAATTGGTGGGGTTTCTACGCTTTTTTTTTTTTCCCACAACAAATCTTCACAACATCCTGATGTGTGAGGGTGCAGAGGTACACGTGTATTCGTCAGGCAGGTTAATTGTGTTGAAGAAATAACTCATTGTCTAAAGCATTGCTGAGTAGTTTCAGGCAGCCCTAGAGTTTCTCAGCCCATGCGAAGACCTCTGAGGTTTCTCTGGATCGTGCACATCACTACTCTCAGCTCCTCGCATGAGCGAGGAATTCTGAGCTGACTCTACCCTGCCTCAAAGCACAAGGAATAGCTTTTCTTTCAGGCGTCTGCAGCTTCTGCCCTTTGTATTTTAAAAGAAAACTGCTGTTTGTTTTCTATGTTTTCCTTCCCACTATCAAAAACACCCAAGGGAACCAGCAGTTAGCGTTATGGCCATGTCTCTGGACTCCCACGTAGTCGACCGCGGTTCGCGTCCCGGACCCGGTGGCTTAAACTCACGCCAGGCGTGTGTGCATGCGTGCCCAAGATCCCAAGAGGAGAATGGAGGAGAAGGGATTGTGGCATGACCATCCCCCCTGGGGGGTTATTTCTCACTTTCTGTCTCTATGTCTCTGTCTGTCTGGCGAGCGCACGTACCCTATAGCGAAAACCACTCAAAAAAAAAAAAAAAAAAACCCAAGAGATGTGGTATCTATTGGGTTGTTGGGAAAGTTATGACATATTTTTACATAAGAAAGTCATAACTTTTCCGACAACCCAAGATATTGCATGATCCACACTCTATGTCTTTGTTGTAAAACAGGATTGTGTGGGTTATGAGTAAACATTTTCTTCAAGATTCCTTTGTGGTAGGTGTCAGATCCTAGGGTCATACATTCTTGATGCCCCAGGAAGAATGAGACTCTCTCAATTCTAATAAGAAGAGTTGGAATCTCACCAGAGATGATTTGCAAAATCTGTGTGTTTGAGGAATGAGAGTTAGTCAATATGATATGTTCCAGGGTGCACAGGGTAGGATTGGGGAGAGTCAGCCCAACTAAATCCTACAGAAGAAGAATGGAAGAGAACTGGGTCTGGAAAAAAAAAAATTGAAGTCTTGTTTCCAGCAGAGTAGTGTACTAGTCAACTTAGGCTGGGATAATGCTGTGTAACAAACAATCCCAAAATTTAGTAGCTTACAGCACCGAATGAGTCTGAGTCAGTTGATTTGTCTAGTCTTGGCTTCAGTCTTCAGACTGACGTGTCTCTTCATATGTCTTCTCGTTCTTTGACCAAAGCTGAAGGACCAAGCATGACTTGGGAAATGTGGTTCTCAAGGAGGTTAGGAGCTCAAGAGAAGGAAATGGAAACACATGATGCCTCACTCTCTCTTTTTCTTTTTTTTCTTAATGCAATTTCTTTATTTCTTCCATGAGTGAAAGAGACAGACAAAAGAGAAAGAGAGACAGCACTCCCAAGGGGCCCCAATGATATAATTCACTCCCACCCTCTAGTTACCTTCAGATCATGAGCAGTGCCCAGCAGACTCAGGTGGTTTCCAGACTTGAACCAGAAACCTTCCTGAGTGGAACTGCTAAGCACAGCATTGCATTTTACCACCATGCCACCAACTGGCCCCTTATGTAATGCCTCTTAAAACCCCTACTCAGAACTAACATACACTTACCTTTATTCACATTCCTATGGGGAAACCAAATCATATGGCTGAGTGTAAGGTCACTAGGAAGCAGGGAAGAATAGAGGGGAAAGGGAGAATTTTTAACAAATAATACAAGCTACCACAGAGAAAATGGATGCTGGGTGTACAAAAGCCACAGATTTTTTCTTCTTCTTTTTTTTTTTTTTTTTTTTTTTTAGGGTGTTTTTCTAGTTTGCTGCAGGGCGTG